TGTGATATCAAGAAGAAGTGTTTAAATAGAAGACACTGATATGTTTTCATCAGTTATCACAGAACAAAAAAGTAAAGTATATAAACTTTGAAAATATGCATAAAGACTTAAGCTTATTCCGTGCACCTAAACGCTTAGAAAAGTTACCATTCTAAGATGTCTTGAAAAGGTTCAAGAGGAAAGTAATGTCACCAAATAACGATGACAGAAAAAAGTATTCTAACCGCATGTTTAATGACAAAAATATCACAAATACAACTCTAAAATAAAACTTCTCTAAACTTTTCTTGGTACAAAGAACAAGCAACAATAGAATTATTTACTTCTTGAAGTTGACTTACGAGATTGGTATTTACAAGACATAAGTTCATGATATTATATAATAAAGATTGAATTGAAAAGAATGTACGGCCATTTCGTTAATATAACGTTATTACCAGAAATAATGCAATGAATCAAGCAGCTATAACATTAGTAAGATCCAAACCCAAAACGACAGTTTCTTGACTATTATAAGGGATGATGATAAATGGCAGTTGTACGGCAATAGTGTTGACACATATATAAACTCTTTGTTTTCTAAAGATGAAAACTACACTTATCATCCTTTTTATTTCAAGTCTTAAAAATACTTGACCGGACGGCCCAATCAATACGTCACTTCATACGCGTGAGCATGTTTTCAGATAGCATAGGAGATCAGTAGTAGAAGGAAACTTCACTTTTCAATTTCAAGCATGCCGCGTGAATTTAGGCCAATTATATAAATATTAACAACGTAACAACTGAGAAAATACCAGAAGTTAAATGTATACAAAAATAACAACGAAATCTAATATATCTTCGCGGAATTTCTATTTTGAAAAGTGCATTTAAGCTTATTCAGCTTAAAAAAATATCGTGAATTTCACTGTTACGTTGCATTGAACATTGCTGTATAATAAAGTGTTCTTAGACGTACCAATATATTTTAGAAGAAAAATATTGATTGCAATATGAAAGCATGAACCTTTGGTACAGAGAACTTTTTCTTTTATGGGGATATCTGTTTACAGAGGTCACTTTTATCTCCAAAATCTAAAAAAATAATACTGTACGCCACTCTTCTAATCCATCGGAAGTTTCATCAAGAATCAAAATGTTATTCCGGAACAATTTCGGCTTTAGAACCGTAACCATTCATGTACGCACAATTACGGGACTAACGAAAATATGCTCAGAGAACTTTCATCAAAAGAAACCATACTGTAGCAGTTTTCCTGAGACATTGCTCAGGCGTATGACAGAATCTTGGCATAACAGGCTAGTGTATAAAGTTACGTAATTTGGGTTTAAGTCCCTGATTACATCCAAACAATAATCCAATAGGCTTTCTGACAACAGAAAATTTTCGATGTAAAAGTCAATGAAACATTATGACACCCTCGAAACATATAGCAGGTTTACCTCAAGCTCTGTACTCTCTCCGAATTACTTCAATGTTTACACTTTCATATTCCACGAATGGCAGACACCAAAATTAGCTCTTTTCTCGCTGTGAACGAAGCTTATCTATCACTGCCTCATGGAAGACTATTTTCATAGCCCAAAATCGGGATACAGAATAATCATGGAAGAACTAATATCGTGGACACAATCAGTGGAGAATAAAATTCATCGCAGAAAAATGCAATGCGATAAGTATTCACACTTTCGTAGACCAAGGAACGCCCTACCTTTAAAATCAATTGCAGCCCGATTCAATGAATTATAGGCCCAATTAAATATTCTTGTGTTACACTACGATAAAAGATTAACATGGAAACGCGATATCCTTCATTAGTAAATTAAAGCTATGGGAAAATGTTCAAAACTAATCATCAATAATAATAGAAAATCTCATTAAAATCGAATGCCAGTCATGATATTTAAACTCATCTTTTACCACCCTAAATACGCTTGCCCTGTCTGGGGAAATGCCGAGCACACCTCATCAATAGATAATAAAGAAAATTATGCAATGAAAGTAGAGAAACAATATTGTCGTAGTCAGAATATTCACGGCAATAATAAAACATTGTTGTCAATTGTTTTAATGATCATTTAAATCCCACAATGTAAGCGTTTAAAGTATTAGAACTAAAGTAATAGATTCGAAAAAACATTCAGAAAACAAACACTTAATACTTTTTAAAACAGTGTTAATAATTGTCTGTGATATTTATTCCTTCAAAACAGGTTTCACTGATTTATAGACAATCATGCATATAAAGTGGGGTAAAGTTTAACAGTTCATAAACACAGTTTATTTAAAATTCTTGAATGTACACAACGTTCCGGAGGCTTTGCATCTCCACCAACAGGTCAGAAAGACATATCTAAAATAAGATCAAATTACATAACAATTACAACTGATTACATAAACCTATTAAGATGCTATACACGAGAGAAAAAATAAAAAGCAAACAGAACAAATTTAGATCAGGAAGATCCAGGAGATTGAGCTGAGCACGAAATTTTCTGCGGAAGACCCAGAGCCATTTCCTACGCGTCCTGTGACGTCAATGGTAACTGTGTTGAGGAAGGTTACAAGGCGGCTCCGTAGTGGAAAATTTCACACCCTGCGGAGGCGAAGTGAGCAGCGCGGCCGGCGATACGCGGATGTTGTTTCAAGTTTTATCGGACGCGCGATAAACAGAGGCGTGCCAGCTGCTCCGGACGGACCAGACGCGAGGTCGCCGCTCTTGCAAACTGACGGACCGGGGCGGAGGAAAACGGGGAGATCAGGTGGCGGAACTAGAATTTTACGTTGCTGAGGGAAAACAGCTGGACGTTTCGTCTATGAACAGTCATTATTAAAATGCCGTAGATTTTTGTAACGTTTCGCGAAAACAAAATTTGGGACCTTTTTCACGTCAACATGATGTAAACGGACTACATGGTATCGATATCACAAAATTATAAGGGTCTTAAGACTAATATTGACTTACTGACTTACTTATCGTTCTTCTATTTCTGCTGAATCAGGAATCAATAACAATATTTATTGTATTACTCTGTCAAATTTAATACAAATTACAGATGCACAAATTGGAAGCCTAAAGGACGTACTTGTGTAGATACTTGTGTAGATATTTGCCAAAATGTGGCATAGGACGTCTGATCATAAACCTTTGAATTAATTTACGGACGTTTCTTGGACAGTAAGTATAAAATTAATTTTTCTTAACATTTGCAATTAAAAAGGACAACCATCGCGCCGCATTGAGCGAGATCGTTATTTCGCTTTAACCTTACACCTTGGCTACGCTAAGGGAAACTTTCACAAAGGTTAAAAGTGAGTTGATAAAAGCCGTTCTTATTATAATGACTTCAGGAGTGAAAATAAGCTCGTGGTAATCCGTATTATTTATGAGCTGATTTAAATAAAAGAAATGCAATTTTAGGTTTAAAAAAAACAACAACCAACAAACGGTGTATAAAATAGAAAAGTGTATATCTCAAAATGGATCGATCCTTCTGCTTCGGTCTTCAGGTTGCTCATATTTAACATCACGAAGTTTCTCGCAAGTGTCGAATTAGTTTTACACTTTCGGGAAAAGAAAGCAGTCACTATACTTGCGTAACAATGACGATTTATCTTGGAAATTAAGGTAGAATATTTCCAAACAATTAGTTTATATTTAAAGTTCGTAAATAAGCGTTTTTGGGATGTGATTTGCTGCAATTTTCAATTTGCAAGCACATTTCCTCACGAAGGTTCTAGTGTCCCTGAGTAATATACAAGTACAATGATTCATGGCGACTGACGTCCAGCTTGGCTCATTACAAAAAGCTTTCCAAATTCTGCTAAGTTATATTTCTAGAGGACGACGGTTTGTACTTTCCAGTGAAAAAGGATAGTAATATTGCAGTTCCAAACATACCTCCAAATTTAAATTAACAACCCATTTGAATGGGAAATGGCGTTACCGCGACAT